TCCCCCACTTTGCTGCCAAGGTACCACACTCCCAGTGCAGAAGACCCAGCAAGATGAGTAGCATTTTAAACCATAATCTATAGCGTGTAGAAAGACGACTTGTCTTGTCACACGCAGATATTTAACTGATATGAAGCAGAATTTGATCTTTGATGAACAAAACTTTCTTGGAGTATCTAATAATGAGAGTTGTTTTTAAAACCCAGATTAAAACACAAAAAGCATTTAAACATTGAACCACGTTTTCAGTCAGACGCTGCAAGTCTGATCTGGGGACCCCTGGCTGGAACCCTTCGCCATGTATAAGCAAAAGATGGGCTGAACCTCAATAGTCCCTTTAGCCTTAAGAAGGGGGGGGGGAAGCGAGTTGAGTCATTTCTTCCCTCGCAGACTTCATAATTCCCCTCCTCAAGTGATTCTAAGAGAAGAGCCTGTGATCAGAACTGGCTGAACACAGAGGGAGCATTTCTGTGACCCAGGCAGGCATTCCCAGCAACTGACTCACCACATTCAAGTCAAAGCTCTTCTCCACCCACTTCTTTGCTTCTTGGAATTCCTCCTCAAGTTCCATGATGTACAGAGTGTCTAAGGCATCCACCACCGTAGCTCCTCGAAGGCCTCCTGCATTGCAAAGATAACAACATGATGAAGCCTCATTCATGCCTTCTCTTCTAGCTCTAAGCCACTCTGTGTTATTTTCATTTGTCCCATTCCACTCTGGAGTGAATGGGACAGGCAGCAGCTTCCAGCCTCAATGCTGGAGATGTCTGGATGGGATCCAGCAAGAGGATCCTGGCCACAGTCTAGGCCAAGATCTTCTAACGAGACTAGTGTGCTCAGCTTTAGAGAGGCCCAATTTTCAAAGGCCTGATGCTGTTTTGAAAAAACACCCCCATGGAACAGCTCAAGGTCCACACTTTAAATCACTAGTCATGACTGCAAACCTTGGCCTTGTTTTCCAGTTCTTGCCTTGGCCAAAGTCGTTAAGGAGATTCCAGCCCTAATCTTTGTTCAGCTGCAAACCTAAACTCAGTCTCTCTCTCTAAGCCGGTTACAAGCATAGCCTTCTTCTAAGTGATGGCAGAGAATCATGTTTTTATTGTGCAAGAGCATTCAAGACAGGAGGCTGATCATTCTGTCCTGATGCAGTGTTTGTTATCTGGGGCACAAAGTAATTTTGTGCCATGTCATGACTCAGGGTTTCCCATTACCAACATACACGCAAAACACAGCATCAGTTAGATCAGAAACTAGTTTCAATAAATCTTGAAAACAGGGAGAGGGTGATTTTGGAGACAGCTCCCTTGCTTTGGCCAACAGAACAAATGGGCCCCGTGAGCATGCTCACCGTTCTCCAGCAGATGGCAATGGGACACATGCATACTAAGCAAATGCCAACTAAGTACTAGGATCTACCACATCATCCATGTTAAAGAAAAAAAAAATAAAAGGCAAGCCAAAAGTATGCCAGGCTTTTTCTCAAGCAAATGGACTGTAGGAAAGCTGCCAATAAGACAGAATGACATGGCATGCCATGCTAGGATGAGAAAGCGATACATGGTGTGTAGACAGACAATCTCGTAGCAGTTGATATTAAATGAAACTAGAACTGCAAACGATGTTAACTACCCTGCTTTTGGAACATTGCAGTGCTGGAGTTTATTTCTGTTATGGTTCCCTAAAAGTATTCCTAGCACTGGAAGGCGAGGGGTATATCTCAACTCGATACCCTCTGGGTTTTAATTACCAAGGCCATCACTTTCCTGGGTAACTCAGTAAATACAGAGCCTCACTCAGAGGATTCCAGTTTGGACAGACAGAAACTTCACCATCATCTTTCTGCACACGTAAAGCAGTGGGGACTTAGGCGTGAAATTGCCATTACATCGCCATCAGCCACTTTCCTACCCACTCCCTGACACTCGGATCTCATGGAGTTCCTGGCAGCAAAGATGCTTGGGTGAGGCTCAGGTTTTGCTTCTGCAGATGCAGAAGCTGCTTGTACCAGCTCTGTCCATATTATCTCCCTTTCCAGTGCAATCAGAGACTCACGCACACTGCTTACGCCCAGAGGCTTCCTGAAATGTCTATCTATTTGGCTCAAGTCAGTTCCTTCTTCTCACTGACCGACTTTGAAACACCACCTCAAATTTCCCCAGCTTTCCCACGTTCAGATTGGGATGCCACTTTTAAAGCTTTCAATGTTACTTCATTTCTAGTTCTATTTGAGAGAGGAAAGCCAGAGGGAAAAGGAAAGCAAAGGTGAGTCATCTGCCAACCTTATGACCTTGGTCTTTTCTTATTAAGAAAAAAAAAGCAGCTGCCTCTGCTGTACACCATTTCCCTTCCCCAAAGGGCAAGGGCTCAGATCCACCGATTTTGTGCAGGGCTCATTTATGCTTTCAACATTCTTCTCCCATAAAAAAGGCATCCTGCCTTATTTTGTTGATGTTACAAGATTGCAGTTTTGACACTTTTCAGCCAGTCAGCACATCATCGCTTTAATAAAAGCCCAACCAAGACTTTACTGCTCAGCTACAGATTGCTAGTTTCCGGATGCTGTCTGCATCAAAAACAGGGGCTGTGGAAAAGGGAAGAAGGCAGTGCAGACAGCCTCTAGAAATTCATTTATTCTCATAACTCCAGTTAGGTGATCATTTCCTGAGTCTATCTCTAGAAGTGCAAAAGATGGAGTCAAATAGCCACTAGATCAACCAGCGGGATCTAAAAAACAACACTGAGCCAATGCTTTTGTGGCATGCTTTCCAGAAGCAGTGACCACGAAATCAACATCATCCCAGTCAGAGCTGTTTTTATCAACCGTAATCGTTCTTCAATATTAATGATTATGTGATTTTTATGCACTTTCCTATTAGCGAGGAGAAACACATCAGCTCTGAGCAACACGGAGGCAGGCAAAGCATTCTAAAAAAGAAGAAAGGACAGTGCTGCCTGAGGCACAGCCCATTACTGTGATATTCTGAGAGTCACACTAATGGATTTGATTTAATTTGATGATATAATCCACAAAGCCTTTCATAATCTGCAGAGAGACAATGAAAAAAAGTTGGATTTGCTCAGACTAAGCTGAGACAAAGAGACAATGAAGTTACAGTTCTCTGAGATGATTAATTGAAATGAAAAATATTGCCTGAATTTACAGAGCCTTTAATGCTTTTAACAAGTAGCGCCTTTAAATACATGAAATGCATCAGGGGAGTAGGAACATGCTTGGATCTTCATTACAGCATAGCTTGGAGTTGCTTCGCTTTCCTCCCCTGTATTTGACAAAGCGGAGGGCAAACTTTGCTTCCCTACTGGTCTGCCTTTGTGTCATTTTAAGCATTTGTTTTAAATATTCCCCTAAACACTTGCATATCTGAAGAACCACAGGCTGTTTTGTACAAGGGTCTTGTCAATGTTTCTTTTCTTCTGTGCCAGCTTTGAAGCAACTGCAAAACACATGGCTGACTTTTTTCCTAGAGCTAACAAAGTATATCTCAATACCAAGAGGTACCCTGTCAGCTTCAGCTGCCTCACGAGAACGATAAAAAAGAATCTCCCTCCTCTCCACAAACGCAGAGAGCACGCCACGCAGCAAGACTTTGCTGCTCTGTCTCTGTGACATGCCAGGCCAGAAAGGGCACCTGAGGAGGACCCAGACCCTCCTGTGCACAGCGGCACATTACTTCTTCACTGCAGGAGAATATTCATTCCTTTCAGGTGCCTGCTTGGACTTTGCTTCATCAGATCATGACAGGGCTTGTGACACAGTGTCCAATGGCTATGATTATGCTCAGCTGTCAGAAGACAGCACTATACATAGCCTAGCATGTTTATTACAATATATATGCACCCATTTACAAAGGTGGTGATATTTGCTTGACATAGTGTATTTTGAGAGATGTTAAAAAATAATCACCTTTCCCAATCTACACATTATAATGCAAAGAATATAATCAAAGGGGAAGCAGCTTCAAACGGAAAAGAAATCAAAACCCAGCCTGTCACTTTTGACTCTTGCTGACACTCCCTTCTCTAAATTACTGGATTCAGCCTCATTGTACTCTCTCTCTGATGGAGTTTTGAAGTAGAAACCAAGAAACCCTCTAAAGAAACCTCTCTGAAAATGCCCAGAACTGGTAGCTATGACTTTTAAGCAAGACTCCGTGCCTGAACTTCTGCCCGTCTCCACAAATCTTAGGCCCTGTGTAGAAAAAGTACCCACAGTCCTGCTGCAAAACTGCCTTGGAGCGGAGATACACCACGCTTCGGAGAGGCAAAGTCTCTTAGCTGATGGCCAAAAGGGAAGCTACTTGTACTGGACTCAGCTCTGGGACCCACACCAGCTCCCTACACTGCCCAGCGAGAGCACACGGCCATTCTGAATGGGAAAGAGGAACCCCTGCACTGGGACCAGAGCATTTCTAATCAAAGGACTACATGGCAACTCTTGTGATAGCAAGTAGTAAGGCCTCTGTGTGGAGTTTCATTTGTGAGCCAGTAATAGTAGGCTCATGGTAGCAACACAAAGATTCATCTCTTCAGCTCCTTGAGCCAAAGGAGACCCCGTACCACCCTGTTCCACGCTGCAAGTATATTTATTCTTTTGTGAAGGAGAAGAATGGAGACATCCATGGAGGCAACAAGGCTGCTCTGTTCCTACTTCACCCACCCAGAGGGATGATCATCTGTCCGCTCGCTTGTGCACGCTGCCACAGAAATCACTAACAAACGTTACATTAATTAACATAATGCTTGTGAAAGGTGCTGAATGGACTGCTCCGCAGAGAGGCGAAGGCATTGTACAAACACCGTGCCTATGGAGAGCAAACCCTTGCAGCCTCACTGAGAACGTGCCTTAATGCCAGTCTGGAGGGAACAGGACCATTCAAGCTATACCGTCTTAGAGGGGCCTTCATGGGAACTAACGGCAGTTCCATCTCTATAAAAAACACAGATAAAGCCAGTAACAGTCCGTGCTAGTTTGGGGGAAATCAGCTGAATAGATTGTCTCATTCACCTCTCTTTCTCTTGTCTCTTACTCCAACTTGTTCCTGATGCCTGCTAGCTCATGTGTTCATTAATACGACCCACAGCAAGACTTTTAATGAGCCTTTAGCAATGCGTTTTGTCTTTAGGAGGCTTAAGTGTGTTCATGGGACCAGACGGGGAACGCTTTGGAAGATGTATGTCAATCTCAACAACCAAAAAAACTAACAATTAAAAAAGCCTGCCATGCTACTGCAGTTCTGGCTGGGTTGCTGGGTGCAGCCAGCACTTTGGACCCACCAGCTGACAGAGGAGGGAGAACAGTCTCTGAACACATCAAGCAAAGGGCAGGAGAGAAGAGCTGGCACTGCAGCCTGGGGCTCCTTTAACCTCAATGAAGAGATCTGTATCAATTAGAGATGAGTCCACAGACTATGGCCAAGAAGCAGCAGATGTGTGGTCCCAATCACAAGCTGAATGAGGATGGTAAAGGGTTCTGGCTACTGGGGAACCTACAGGCAATGGATGGGGCCCCTTGGCACATGCACAAGCTTCACCCCTTTGCACGTCCCACCACCCTGCTCTCCTTCAGGGTCCCAGTGAGCCAGTGCAGAGGAAAAATGCTATCA